ACCACAATGCTCGATCAAAGATAAATTAATACAATTAAACTCTTAATTGTCAAATCCTCACACTAATCACCTCATTTATAATACAATAGGGGTACCCATTATGCTCAAAACCTTAATTTAGCTTTAACAGTCCTTTCAATACACTACATTAACCCTATTTAACATTCCAATACATAAACAACACCATTACATTACCCATATTGCTCTTAATAATCCATTTTCTACCTAGGGTTTGTCTAAACCCTAACAAAAAATTTTAAATATTTATGTAATCTATAAATATAGGTTTAAAGGCTTGATTTAACTTCTCAAGGCCTTAATTAAGGTAATGGGTTCAGCCATTACCTGAGAAAACTTAAAATTATAGCCCCAAAATACCTAAATCATTAGAAAACTCGCATAGAGGGAGAGGAAGAAGTGAACGAAGCTTATCAAAGCTAAATCTTGCTCTAAATGATTCCAATAGTCAAGCCCTAGTGCCTACCAATCATCTCCCATCGTCTCTATGCATTCTCTCTATCCTACTTCTTATACCCATACACCCGCCTATAACTATATAATTTGAAATAAAATTCCCTAACTCTCATGAAACCTTTAAAACTTGTCTCAAATACTCTAACCATTTTAGAAAACATGTACACATAGAGTATAAAATGCATGTGCCATCACTTGTAAATAGTTAACAAGTTAATAAATAACGTGGGCTATCTAATTACATTAATCCTTTTGTCACAAAATGGTTACCTGTAGTTTGTATTCATTGCTTTCATTTTTGAAACTCTAATAAGTTTCACACACCTCAATCTGTAATACAAAGTACTTTATGTTAATTCCATGCTTAACACAAGTACTTTTAACTATATATCACCCTAAATTCTCCACTAATCACCCATAATCTCACTCAAGGAGCTACTTAAGATTATAACTAGCTCACATCATCACATTAAGCCCCCTTTCTAGCTTAATCTTAGCATGTCACAACCTACTACAGCATGTCACACTTCAAGACCCTAAAATTTAGCTAGGGCTTGAACCAATCTCTTCGTCTAAGAACATAAACCAAGTTATTATAACCACATGCAACACATAGAGCATGGATTCCTAGCTTTTTCAAGACTAATCATCTATTTCTCTCTTTAAATCCTTGAAATTTATGGTGTTAAAGTAGAGAGAAAAGAGAGAAGGGTTACCAAAACTTTGTATAGTTTGAATTAGCTTTTGGTATCTCAACTTGCCAAACCTTAGTGGACTACTTTTCTTCTCCTTGCGTGCTCCTCAATTTTCCCAGTTTTCCTCTTTGTCTAAATGTTGATTCACAAACTATTAAATTTAATTAAGTGTTATGAACATCAGTGCAACATGTACATGTCGTGGCGCATGGTACAAAATGTGGCATCACCCTAATCCGCTTCCAAATCCTTCCTAGCCTGATTTGAAAACTTCCTCGTAGTTTAAAATACCAATTATTTATTTGGAATTAATCAAAATAATTCACTTATTTACTAATTTTGCCCTTAATTTAAGAATTAATTCATATTAGGATGTTACATCCAACAACCACATTTATGACTTCACAACAACCAAATTCATCCTCCATTATGAGCCCAACCATTAATGCTAGCTTTAGTTGACTCAAACAATCTTCATTAACTTTATTTAGATTAATGGATTTGGACTCATAACCTATAAGTTCAAAAATAACTTTCTAAATACAAACCCTAACTTAAGAATGGAGTAGAAAGAAAGAGGAAGGGTGGGGAAGACTTACTTTGATGATTAGAAGCCCCAGTTCTTCCTAAAGCCCTTCAAATCTTGTGCCTTAGCAGAGTAAGTAGTGTGCTCTTTATTTTCTCTCTTCTCCTTCCTTTTGTTGTTCAAACCTATAACTATCTCATTTAATCATATTTTCGACCATGCACTGTGAAACATGCAACCCATACTGTGGTGGATGGTATAGAGAGAAACATTACTCCTAAAAGCAAGCCATTCACTGTGATGGATGGTGCAAAGAAGGCATCCTCTTAAATTGCTCCTTAGCTAGGCTTAAGTGGCCTAAATCTACTCCGGACTTGTTCCAAAGGCTATAACTAAAACTCAATAAGTGCATTAGCTCTCTTTAACCATCCTCAAACTCATTTATACTTAAATTTACTTAATTATCTCTTATTAACTTAATCAAATATGGGAGGTCAAATTTAGGATGTTACACCACTGCATGCTTCTCTTATTTTTTTTCCCATATTTTTGTCCTCCATTAGTTAAGAATTCCACCTACCTTGATCCATACCTCTATTCTACCTACGACCCCATAAGTCCTAAAGTGACCTGTTGAGATACAGCTAAATTGAACTACGGCTCAATTTGAAAATCGAACACGACTTGGTCTGTAGTTGTAAGAGTGGATAATCACAGCCAGGATAAGTACTTTTATAAAGAAAATCAACCTTAGGATTTAGGTTTTTGGATTGTTTGTGAGGATCTGAGTTTGAATCTTGATAAGGAGATCTCTCTCATCCTTACTAACTTAAAATCTTCAGTGAAAGGTTCTAAATCTATGATTAATGTTAAATTTAAATTTGCTAAACTTAAATGTGAGAAAACAATTAGTTTTGTCTCTGTTGAATAATTAAGATTGTGGATCCTAAAACTGGTAGGCAATGTTCTGTTATTAATGTAACCAAATTTTTGGTTCTCTCCTTTTACTATTTTTAGGTGCTTACTAGCTCTAGTGTATGCACATTTGTGTCTTGGTTCTGGCTGGGTTGAGATGCTTACTAGTGTCTTTTCCCTTTAAAAAATTGCTCTCCTTTTCATGTTCTAAGATTTTTTTTGCAAGTTGTTTTTTTAGTTCTAGCTTGCAAAAGGGGGAAAAAGAAAAATTAGAGATATTCGTTTCATTCTTCCCTTCACTTGACGATTGTTTTGATTCATTTTTCTAAAAGGATGGTTTACTTCGTCTTTTGCTTTTGAACTGGCATTTACCTTGATAATCAAATTGGTGCTCTAAGTTTATGATGAATGAATTGGGGGGAGTATTTTCTTTTATATTTTTTTATTTTTTTTAAAATACTAGGTGGTTGCCATCTAACAAAGGAAGTCAAAATAATGTTTAAATTAAAGATGGGGTGAAATTGCATCTTTTTTAAAAGTTTCGAGGCAAATTTACTTTAAACAAAAGTTTAGAATTCCCAATACTTTTGGATAAAAATTTTTAGGGTATTTTTGCTTTTTAACCATTTTTTCCCTTAATTTGAGTCTTAACTTTTTTTTTAATCCCACCATATACCAAACATAATTTTAAAATTTATTCTTACTTTAGATTTCGTGCCCAATCTCATATCTAACTTTTTTAAAATTCAACACCTTATAGCAAGATTGTGAAAACTCGTGAGTTTAAGCATACTCATGTTGGGATGTAAACTTGTAATACTTTATTTCTATTAATAAATAACCATTAAAAGTATATGATTAAATAATTAAAATAAAAGTAATAGCATAATTTGATTTAAATATATTTTAAATATAAATCATTGAAATTAAATTCATTTACATTGATAGGTTATTGTACTTAACATAAAGATTTCAAAATCAGGCAACTTATTTTTAGTAATTTTTATTTTTTATTAATATTAGCTTTTTTTTATTTTGAATAGGGTCCTACTGTTTCTATAATTTGAGTTTTATACAATATATACCTAACTCCCTCAACTTAATAAAAAATTAAAGAGTTTAGCAAGTTTAACTAAATTTAAATCTCATCCAAATTTATGAGTGAGTTGACACAGTTTTATAAGTTATAAATACAAAATTAGTAAATTTGAAGAATTAGCCCACAAGTTTAATCGAGTTTACATTTAGTCTAAATTTATGAATAAGTTAATATAATTTTATAAGTTAAAAATATAAAAAAAATAAATTCAAAATTTTTTCGGCCAAAAATAAATTCAAAAAATTAATTTGAGAGATTTTGACAACAATATTTTATACCGAGGAGGCCTCAAGTCTCAAGTCTCAACCCTCAAGGCCCTATTTGGTATAAGGTATTGAATTTTTATAGGATTAGGATTGGGATTGAAATTAGGATTGGGACTGAGACTGGGATTAGAAATAAGTTTTAAAATCATGTTTGGTATAACATGGGATTAAAAAAAAAGACTCAAGTTTGACCCAAAAAATAGCTAAAAGACAATATTGCCCTCATCTTCTCCATCATCATCCTCTCTCTTGCAAGCTTCATCGGTATCGACGAATGGCAAGCACGTCTGTCGTCGCTGGGAGGTCTAAAATGAGATTCCTGCCTTTCCTCTGTTTCACACTGTCAAGTGTTCGTCCTTGCCAGTTGCTGTTAAGCTCATTCTTCCATCACCGTCGCTGTTAGAGTCGCTATTGTCTACTCTTGCAAGGAGTTTCGTTTAGGTCACGAACTCTCCTGTCTCTGCCTTACTGTCGATCCATGCCTTCCCTGTCTTTACGTTGTGGCAATGCTCTTCCATCGTCTCTGCTCCTGTTCACAGGCGTGTCGACGTTGTTAGTACACAATGGCATCGTCTTTATCTTCCTCTGTTCCTATTCCGTCCCTATCATGTGATGATAGGCATCCTTGTGTTGCCGAAGTCATCTTCAATGGAGTGTGCAAGGTCGAGGATCATGGAGGAGATTTGTGCGCGATGATGGAGGAGTAAGTTGACTGGACAGGTTTTTGATGAGGGCATTTCAATTATGAAAATTTCAATCTCAAGATTGAAATTACAGTACTAGAGGGGAGGTGGTATTGGGTATTTCCACCAAGATGGGATTGAGTTTGGGAATAAATTTATCATTACCACCTACCAAACATAAAAGCTTGGTATTACTCAATTCCAAACTTAGTCTCACTTTGTCAGTGTTGCGTACCAAACGAGCCCTCAAGCTCACACTGTGGAGGGGCATATTTTGAAATAAATATTAGCTGAAGGGCATGATCGTAATATTAAATTCATATGCAGCGTTAAATAAAATTTTGTTTCCCACAAGGAGGGACGGGCGAGACAGGGAGTCTAGAGAGAGAAAACGTGAGAGACCTCTTCGTCTAGAACTCAGAATATACAAACCAAGAACCCCCCTCGCTTCAATATACATTCTGGTTTCTCACATTCCGCGGGATTTCACTGTAAGATCCTCTCTCCTACCTCTTTCACACTCTCTCTATCTTCTCTCTCCACCTTTTCACTTCACTGCCTTTTTTTTCCCGACTGCTCGCAAACAGGTTCTGGCGGGAATGAAGGTTTTGTGTCGCAGTCGGCGATTTAAGATTCTCCCATTTTTCGTTTCACTCCTTTTTGTCGATGACAGTCACCATTATTTCTATTTATTTTTAGTTTGTTCATTATGCAGTGCTTCGAGTGTTTTGCGAGGTTTGCGTATATTGGCACCTAACTTTATTTGGTCTGAGATCGGAAAAAATGCATATTCTAGGGTTTCCGTTCTGTTGCATCGTATCGGGGCTTCTCGGTTTTGTGTTTTGATGGGAGTCTCAATGTTAGGCGTTTTTATATTCAATCTTCAACGTAGGGTCTTGTACTGTCAATTTTTCAAAACAATTTTAATTCTTTTTGTAGCTTATAATTTATGGAGTTGAAACTAAACAACATGAACTTTTATCTGACTTTGTCTTTTTTAAGCTAGCTACATTGGTCATGGAATGAAATGTCGCAATGACAATTTAGGTTGCCCTGGCAATTCTTAGTGGTTTATTTGACCAGGAGTAACTTTTCATTTTCCTTTTCTGGGGCATGTTAGGGTTTCTGGCACAAGAGACGCTTATTTTTAATTAATGAGCATGCCTCACTGGAGTGAAAGTGTTTTCTATTCTGGTTTTAACACTTAAATTGGACTTCTTTTTCGTTTACCAATCGTTAGGCTCCTCTTGCTGACGATCTAGGAGAAAACTATAAAAACAATATTGTTATTTGAGGTCTCGTACTTTATGGTTATCATACTGATTGATACTCAGCCAATTAAACCATCTTTAGTACTGACGTAGTTTTTAATCCCAACTAGTTTGGTGTGTTGGTCTTATGATTTGTATGGAGTTTGGGACGAGCCACAATATAGTTTTAACCCTAACAGTATTGATGATTTAAGTGGTTCTTGTATTCAGCTGTTTCGAGCTTTTGTGGGAACTATAAGATTAATATTACTGAAATAGTTCTGCCAATTTCTCTGTGCAGGGTGATTGTCTTCGTTTGACAACATATTACTAGATGCCTCTTTTAAAAAGGAAGCCTTTTGTCTTGGCTGAGCTGCCTAAGGATTTGGAGCCCCATGAGCTTGTCCATCAAGTTCGATTTACGAAAGAAATATTTCGAGATTATCAGTATCCTTTTTAATTTATTAATATTGATGCTCTATACTTGGGATTCTTTTTGGCGTTTGTAATTTACATTGATGTAAGTAAATAAAGAGACATCAATTACAATTTTATTGATCTGTATAAAATACATTGTCAACATTTCGCACTTATTCCTTTCAATTAGATGATAATTGTTGGCCTGCCTTAATGTGAAATAGTGACTATTTGAACCGTATAAATTTGTATCGCCAGAGAGTTTGGACATGTAAGGTCACTGGGAAAACTAACTTGACTTATGAAGAGGCTATGGTGTCTGAAAGGCGTGCCACTGAAAAAGTCCAACAAATTCCCAAAGAATTAATGGCCCCTGCACTAAGGATTATTCAATACAGTAAGAACTATTCTTATGTGAGACAAAAGAATATATTTTGATATGATGATAGATCTGTTTTCTATTCTTCTTTTATGGCAAATCACATGCATGATTTTCTTTCATGATGTATAATTATATTGCTGTGTGCATTTAACAAATCTAAATTTTCTTTCTATATGATGTCTACCAGTCTGCTGAATTTATAGGAATTGGATGTGGTTTATATGGGTATATATCTGAAGGATAGATGCTTGTGGAATACATTTTAAGCATCTATAGAGATGGAGTGCTTTCAGAAAAGTGTCTGATGCTTTCTACTTGAACAGTTATGAATTAAAGTACTGTGTTTTTTTGATCCGTTAATGCAATTAAGAAGAGAAATGTAATTATGTTTGGTTTTCTATGCTGCACAGAAGTAGTTCCCAAGATGTCTAGTTGTTGGTTGTCATCATAAGCCTTTTAATCAAGCCGTTCATCTCTCATTCCTAAGCATAGTCTCATGACTCATCAACTTGCAAGTTATCAGTTCTGGGCATGTATTACCCCCACTTAATTGTATATAAATTATGATATCCTGGGCCTTATGATGCCCTTACACTTCTGGTTTTGCTTCAAGATGGTAGTTGGATGAGGCAATAGTTATTGCTAAAGTGTTCTAGATGAAAAGCATTTGTTTTTCTTTCCTAGAGTAACCATTGTCATTGTGTTGGTACATGGTTTTCAGTTTTAGTATTTGATTTTTTTTTTTTGGAAAGAAGCTGATAAGACTATCTCAAAACCTTTGTTTTTTGTAATTTAGTTTATTCTTTCTATAATGTGAGAGAATTAATGTTCACATATCCAGCATGGCAACATGGAACGTATTTTAAATTAGAACTTCTAAACATGTGTTTTACAATCACTAGAGAAATTATGGGAAAGAACTTGATAATGTGTCTGGAAACACACAACTGCTGAAAGTTAACTAAAAGCCAGTAAACAGTTTTAGATTTTAAATTCGACAAATTTAAAATAAAGCAGGCTTTGAATCTTGTTCTTAGAGCTAACTCACCAAACAAATCTTCTGTTCTCTGACAATGAATGATCCATAAATGGATTTATCTTTTCCCCCCTAGAATTATTGTTAAGACTTGTTTGAAAACTGAAAATTAAAAAACAATGAAAGAAACAAACAGGTCTTGTGTGTCTGATTGAAGTGTGTTTGGATTATACAATTTGTTGAGTTTTTATCAAAATGTATATGTTTTGTGCAAAACTAAAGGGTCCTGTGTGTTTCATCCAAGTGTGCTGGATTATGCAACTTGTTGGATTCTCATCAAAATGCTTGTATTGTGTGTGTATTGAACTCCGTGAATGAACTTTTGTTTTGGCAGGCATGCTTCCTTTGAGGGAACTCGCTGAAGCAATAGCTGACAAATTGCAGGAACAAGTTTATGTGGGTGCTGAGCTGCATGGAAAAAAGGATGATGGAGAGCATCCCTGCAAAATATTGAAAGTCATGCAGGAAGGAGTTGATGAATTCCGTTATGAGGTAGCTTGGCTTGACAAAAACAAGAAAACAGTTGAAAAGGCTGAAGTCAGTGCCAAGGATTTGGTGCAGAAGAAATTTCCTTTTAGCAGGAACATCTTGAAATCTTTTATTCGGGAATCTACATATCGTAATGCTCCTTGGGTAATACATGATGAATTGGCACAAAATTATGGAATCTCAACTGATATCCCAGAGGAGTTAAAAGGAAGAGCTTTCTTCAACAACGGACTTTTAATTTGCAACAAGAAAAGGAAAATTGAGGTAAACAGGAAGAGAGTGGTAGCAGTTTCAGCTTCGTTCATCTCTCTAATCCATGCATAAAGAAACAAAATTTAATTGGTAAAGGAGATAGAAACAGTAAACTATTATAGGATTAAGGGTCCTGAAGTATCTTTGTTGGTTTGTTATTGATGCTATTTTTCTGTATCAAATCTAACATGTTCAGGATTTAAATGGAGATGCTGAAAATTGCAAAAGGAGGAAATCAGATCAATCAAAAAATAATGGCTCCCATTTAGTGAAAGGTAGAATTTAAAGGTTGAAGTCATTTTGTCTGTTAGAATTGGTTTTGCCTCCATTAATTTACAGCTGTCTAATTGGAATTATTTTTTAGTAGAATTTTATTTTGCTTTGCTTTGAGCATTTCCATTTCATCCTTCCCTTTCTCTTTCACTTTCTATGTTGCCAGGGTTGGGTTGTAGTGTGCACCATGGTAGTAGCCTCTTGTATTTTTTTTTAATTGGAAAGCTCTCTCTCTTGCGGTTTGGTGATAATGAATGATTGATAAAATTGTATTTCAAATCATATTATTGCTATTGCGGAATTACAGATTTCTTACAATTGTCCAGTCAATCATCCCTTTATGATTTTAATGCATCAAATTGTCTTAACCTTATTCGTATCACAATTTTGCAGAAAATGGCCAATGTAAGGAAGAACCTATCAAATATCCGATTGATGATTTATTGGTGGAGCCTAGTCCAAATGATCCTGTTTTTGCTGATCGTCCTTCTCCATCAAGAGACTTCAATGTTCCAATTCATTGTGTAGGGGATCTCTTAATGGTTTGGGATTTTTGTACTTCTTTTGGTAGGCTGTTGCGCTTGTCACCCTACTCTCTGGAAGATTTTGAAAACTCAATCTGCCACAAGGAAAGCAACGTGGTTCTCCTTATGGAATCTCATGCAGCACTCCTTCGGGTGCTCATGAAAGATGATGGTGAGTACGCTTCAGCTGTACAGAAAAGAAAACGGAAGTTTAAGGTCAGCATCGCCCTTGTGCATATATCTTTCTATTACCAGTCATCAGTATATATTTTTTATGCTCCATGCAAATGTTCCAAATGAAACTTTAATTGCAACCTGGCATTCTATGCAACTTATTTCTTTCTTTCTTGTATTAATGATATGACAGTATCTAACCCCATTTCATTTTCAGATTACAATGATTAATTGGCAAGAATATTTATGCGATTTTCTAGAAATGATCAATGTTCCTGGGTTACGGCAGTTTGAAGCTACCATAAAAAGGGGACATTATGGCCTCGTTGATATCAATGCTAAACTAGAAATATTGTGCGAATTGGTCAATCAAGTTCTTGAAACCTCCATTTTTAGGGAAAGGTTGGACGAGGTTATTGAACAGCGGCAGGCACTTGGTGCTACTAGAAGAGGAGAAGCACTAGAAGATGGTAGGAAAAGAAGGGAAGAAAAGGAACGGTTGAAAGCTGAGTTTGAAAGAAATGGTAGTATGAATGGGCACTTTCAAATAAATGCAGCAACTGTCTCAACAAAAAATAATCACAATAGAGAGAACGGAGATATGAGAAAGAAAAGAAATGGAGAGAAGGAACCATCTAGGCAGGGGGATGCTTTGGGTGGAAGGTCAGTGTTTATATTGTGAACTGTAGCTGCGTGCCTTTGAGTTTTCTTTCTAGTAATTATTATGACATCCGACATAGAATTTGTTCTAAATTTCTGAGCAGCATGGATAAGCATTCGAATGGTGCATCCAAAAAGTCATCTAAGAAGCTGAGTTTAGAACTGAAAGAACCAACAGAAAATGGAAATGAATCATCCAGAAAGGAATCACAGAAGCAATTAAAGGGGGAGAAGGATCCATCAGAGAAGAATAGTATAGAAGAGAGGGTGCAACCCACCTCCTTGCTTTTTTTTTTTTTTAACATTATTTAGTTTGCCCGTTAGACTCCTAATGATGCTTTTTGTTGCACAGAGAGAATATTTTGAACGAGAGATGGAAAAACGATTTGTTCGTACAAGTCCCCTTGGCAAAGACAGGCATTACAGCAGGTATTGGTGGTTTCGCCGTGATGGGAGGATCTTTGTAGAAAGTTCTGATTCTAAGGAGTGGGGCTACTACAGCACCAAGGAAGAGGTGCTTAATTCAAATAGCCTGCCATATATGCTTTTTCTTTATTCATGAGACTTCTACTAACTTTTTGTTGGTATGCTTGAATAGCTTGATGCATTGATGAGGTCACTGAATTGCAAGGGTGAGCGGGAAAGAGAATTGCAAAAGCAACTGGAAAAATATTATGCTAGAATATGGTGAGTTAGATTTATTTTCCAATTGAAGGTTTCAATGGAGTACCGGTAGAACATTTCTGTGTCCTTGGTTCCATTTCACGTGGTGGAATATGATGCCCTGAACCTAAGTAGAAGCCTACAATTGACTTTTCTCCCAGCTGTACACGTTTTATAAGTGCTGTTACTGTAAGCTGACAAAACCAATGAAGGTATACAACAAAGGAACACCGTTGTTCTTGTTTAGTTATAGCTTCTACTAAGTAATTCTAATGTAACTTTGATACTGACGAGAATAGTGACATGCCATAGAATGACCTCCGCAATGAGCTGATAGTTTGGAGTGATTGGCCTTGGCTGAGAACAGAAAAAAACCTATTAGAAACTGTGATCAGCAAGTTTGATTAATTTAAACATTTTGGATGCATGACCTTGGTTGCCATTTGATTCTCGTGAAACCTGTGTCGCTAAGTTAGATTCTGATCTTCTAGCGACACATATAGATTACCTATCTTGAATATGCTTCTAAATGTTATCGATATTTTTTGTTTGCCTAAGTTTTTTTTTTCATCAGTGAACTTCATTTTATTTATATTCCATGTTTATAGTACGGAACTCCAGAAGAGATCAAAGGATCAGATACAGCAGATTGCACTAGATGAGTCTGTGCTCCGAAGGTCTACTCGTGTTCGAGCGCCACCCAGAGAAAATCCTGCCAATGCTTTCCTCAAATATGTTAACAAGTGGAAGGAAGAGTAGTCTGTTAAGTTTAGCTCTTCAGATTCATGAAAGCTGGAACGTTCTACCCTGATTGTCTTTCCATTTGTTTCTTTCGTGATTACATATGGAGAATAGTAGGAAATGATTCTGTTGGTCCAAGGTCTGAGGAGGAATAGGAGGATTGAGCCGTAGTCTAATCTATCATCGGATGATGGACAAGCATGTATTCTATGCTTGATCCTGAAATTTTGTATATGGATAATAGATTACGCCATTTTTAAATAATAATCATAATCATTGGTACAAAAAGAATTCATGTATTCTCATCATCATCATCATAGTCATTTTGTTCTTTTCATCGTTACTGCATTTACATGATGTAGAAATTTAGATGGAACTGTCCATGTGAAAGAATATGGTCAAAGGATGACTATTGTTTTCCGGGTTTCCGACAGGAATTCATTCTGTAGTCTTGTAAGATTAAATTGTCCCAATATTTGTAGTCTTTTCGCCCTATGATTCATCTAAAAATCAATGAACACTACACACGTTTTGAAGGTTAATTGAAAGACATGTAATTATGATCTAATTCATTTTTTGTCAAGGGAGAGCGTACTTTGTCCAATTGTCAGTACTCTAAAGTAAATAATACAAGGGGTCATCAGGACCTTGCACGTTCCGCATGCATGAAACTGAAGCATGTACTTTTTATGCATCCTTAATATTGTTTACAACATTTATGACTTGTAACACTATTTATGATTTATAGTGTCGTTTTATGTGGATTTTAGGTAGACATATAAATTTGAGAAATAAATCATATTGCTGGTAAGTTGTAAATAATAGAAATATATTCTATATTGATTGAGGATCTTCCTTTGTATGCTTTTCAAAGCCATCTTTATGACATTTTCTCACCTTTCTTTTTGGCAATTAAAAGTGAAATAGTAGACAAAAGTGACCTAGAGAAACTAAAAGCATTTATAGAATGGCGCCAAAAAAAAAAAAAAACAACCATTACCACGCTTGTTACTCAGGGAAGAAGCGAAATAGACTACAGCTGGAAGCAATGCACCTTAACATAGGCATCAAAGTCAGGCAATAAAACTTGCAATGTAACTTTTCTAGAGCTGCAAAATTTGAAATTACAGACAGTGAACCTCTCAACCAACGATTTTGATTCCCAAATGTCTTCCTTTATCAAGATTTTAAACTTCAATCCAATGACTGCCATAGTGCCATAAAAAGAGAAAAGAAAACTCCTACTAACGGCAGGGCTGCAGAGTCCCAGGGGAGGTCGAGATTAGTTTTTCATTATTCTCTTTTTCCTCATTTCCTTCTTTTCCCTGACTGCATGCAGGATAAAGCCTAGAAGAGAAGGTGAGGAGCTCCGATGCATTCTTACCCACTTAAAAAAAAAAAAAATGCAGGACTTTCTCGTTCATGTAAATTGTAAAGTACAGTGCATGAATGCAGTATATTCATAACATGTATATGAGACCTTTGGCCAATCAGATATCTTTAATTTTCAGGATTTAACCTTAAGATATGTAAATGCACCTATCCCGACCAAATGAACCAGAGGTGGCATGCAAATATTTATTTTATTTAAGTACTTTGACCACGTCTAGGCCATTAGGAACCCTGTTATCAGTATAGCAGAATATGAGCAAACAACATCCATCATGTGTTCTCAGGCCACCAGTTCCTTGCAATTTGGATTACGGGCAAGAACCAGAATTCTAGCCACAAAGCATTGCATGGAATGTAAAACAAGATTATCTTATCTCAATGACGGCTCGCCCGACAATTTTTCCCTGGTTGAGATCTTCAAATGCTTTGCCTGCCTCCTCAAAGCTGTATCTTCTAGAAACAGTATTGGAAAGATTGAAGATACCTGTTTCTGCCAGTCTGACTAACTTGGGAAGATCTTGCCTCGCTCTACCTCCATATGATCCCAGAACTTTTATCTACTCAGAGATGGTGTAATAGTTCATGGAAATAATGAAGGAAGCAGAAATAATTATCAGTTCAGGAGAGAATTCCATAACATTGCATAAAAGAAACTAAAGTTAGTTTCTCTAGTTTGAACTCAAAGATCATCTTCAACCAGATTATTCATGTGAATGGAAGATACTTCACTGAATTGATCCAGCTAAAGCCTTAAAATAGGCTCAAAAGCGGAATACCAACATAAATAAAATTCATGCAGTGGCTCACGAGTATCAGAGTAACTCGTGAAAAAATAATTATACCCATTATTTACTAACATCAAGAGTTTCAATATTTTTATGTTTTTATAAAACAAGTTTAAGATGAAAAGAGTTATTCTATATTTGGTAACAGATTTCCAGTGTTAGGAGATCTTTAATTTCAAAAGAGGGGAGGGAAGTTCCATTCAGATTATAGAAGGCCAGTTTGATTTGAATGGTGATGGTGCTATCTTTGACCATTACAATTGAGACTTGATATAGTATAAGGAGTTACTTAATAGTTCGAAAGATATATTGCATACAAAGAATATGCACCTTTTTACGAACAAGGCGATTTATATCGATTTGTCCAACAGCACCAGCTTTTGCTAGTCCAATCATCACAGCTTTTCCTCCATCCTTCACACTTTGCGTGCACTGGGAAAACGTCTGTGGTTTTCCCAAGGCTTCCACAGCAACGTCAACACCTTTTCCACCAGTTATTTCCTGTTGAAATCAGTGCAAACAAAATAAAGGCTCTCTTCAGAGTGAAACAAACCGAACATCCTGTGAATGAGGCGATTTGTGAATTGGAAAATCGTGAGTGTTCCTCCTAACCCCATGCCTGTGGCTTTTTCAGAAAATAATAGTAAAAATAATGACAAATAAATGTCTTGTTTTTGAATCTCGAGAGTTTGAAGAAAAAGAAAACTTAATTATAGATGACAAATATGAATAGGAAAAGCTTAAAGTAGAGTTTATGGATCAAAACTTCAAACTGTGTCCCAAAAGGAGAATGAGAAGAAACTGACAGTTAAAGCTAAACAAGTTATGGTTGCAGAATAGAGGAACAAAAAACCATGGGCAGAGTCATTTGAAAGCAAAATATATGCTCTCTATACTTCGCTCTGATCAAAATACACAGAAGATCGTTGCAATTTTTTCTAATGCAGAAGTCTATCTAATAGCCTTAGAATTAGAAGTTATTGATGCTTTGACAGCCTTCTGAGTCAATTTGTTTAACTACTGATTCCTGGTAGACACACATGCAAATAAGTCATGAAAAAGATCCTTTCGTGTTACTCCTTAAAATATAAAATACCAACCAGACATGTTTCAATTAGAAATAATATAGCAGTAATCCTCCGACATAACACAGTTAGATCTTGAAAGATTGAGTCAAAGGAAAATGCATTTACAATTATCTTTCCAATTGGATCTTCTCGTGCTGCATTCACGGTGTGAGTAGCACCAAATGTTTTTGCTTTCTCTAGCTTTTCATCCTGAACATCCACAGCAATAATTTCAGAAGCACCAAATGCTCTAGCTATCTGCAAACAGCTGGAAAGAGGAGAAAATTCGGCTCAATGTTCTGTATCAGAGGGGTAAATTGAAATCCTATATTCTCCAAATCATTTTGCAACACCTAAGTGGTCTCCATAACGAAACATAACTATCACATAGTTAAAGGTATGATTCCCAACAAGTTGTAGACAATCTAACTACACTATGAGAAACAATCAAACAAGCATGTTAACTTGGCATACCTCAAACAAGCATTACCAAAGAGAACCAAAAGAAAGGCAGTGCAACTGCTAGGTGAAAATTGTACACTCATCAGGAAAGTAATATCTTTTACCTAGAACCAACACCCCCTGTTCCGATAACAGCAACAGAGTCCCCTGGACGCACCTCAGCCGCATGGGCCATTGCTCCATACGCAGTAAAGACAGCACATCCTAGTATTGCAGACTCTGTGTATGGCAATGAGTCTGGTAATACTGTCAACGCATTTGCTGGCACCACACAGTATTCAGCAAGCCCTCCCATACTATACATGTAGACTGGTTTTCCTATAAGTTATTAATTATTTTTAGTATTCAATAATGAAGAGCACTATCAATGAGTAAGTTAAAACTCTGAATAGCATTAAGATTGTTATCAGCTGAAAATAAAACACCAACAAGCGGATTGGGATTTTTTTGGTAAGAAGTTGCAAAGCATTAAATTAATTGATCCTGTGCAGATGCAATCAAGGAACATGCATACTTATTTCAGCGAACGGAGCTTGAATTGGTATGTTACATCAGTTTATCACTCAACATTAATAACAGTAACATGTTTCTTAAGTGCCAGTAAAAAGCACAGGTGCTTCCAGTAGAAAATTATGAAAATTAGTAATCTACCATGAGCTTTCAGGATATAAAGTAAATCATAATATTAGTTCTGCTGACTGTGCCAGTAGTTGATTGAAGAGAAAAGTAACTAAAGGACCATTGTCAGCCTTAAGAATAACATACAAATCATACTTACCACTGCTGCGAAGAAACAGCCGAGTTTCACCGTCATAGAGGGTTCCTTTTGCCCGGTTATAAGCAAAGAAAGCTTCACATAAATCATCATGCCCCTGTTTAGTAGCGGGAGACTTATGACAACATTGAGGGCGAGCAATAAATCAGACAAAGTGATCGATGCGAATATGCGATGTTACCTTTGAACAATAAGAACAGTTGCCACAAGGCATAATGAAGGAACCAACGACTCGAGATCCAACTGGAAGCCTGCAACACAGGAAAGCTTAATTATTACGAATTTTTACTTTCCACCCGCATTGACTTAAGAAAGTACACTTTTCCTAAAAGTCAACTGACTAGAACATTAATGATTAGCAAAAGACCATTAAACTTTGACTGCTACCTTTGTTTTGTTTTATCATCTGTGAGCGGTCCATGTTCAAGAATTTCGCCAGTTATCTCATGTCCCAGCACGCAAGGACTGGAAAAAGGAATTTCGTCCTTTATAACGTGGAGATCGGAGTGGCATACTCCACAACCTGCATGCACAACAAAACATTCGATAATTAATTAGTTTAGTTCCCTCGTTTAAAGCCGGAAAGCTTGACTCTAGGAAATTAGACGAAAACCGGGTATCTTTAGGACCTGAAAAAGTATGAATTAATCATCGACGATTCTTTTTGACAACAATGTTTTCGAAATCAGACAGGTCGCAAAATTGAAAATCAACAACAACAACAATCACGAAGAGAAAACAAGAAATTGAGGATTATCAACCCTTGGTTCTGACGAGAACTTCTCCAGCCTTGGGGCGAGGGATGTGGAATTCCTCGATGGAGAGAGGCTTGCCAGATTCCCAGAATACAGCTCCACGCATAAACGATGGGAGTCCACCACCACCGGCAAGCTGGGAGTAAAACGAAAAGCCCTTTGAAACTCTGCGAATAGCATTTTCATTCACAGACTTATCGATCGGAAAATGCTGAGTCAACGCCTCACTAAGACACCAAGAAGTAGCGAACTTGAAGCGGCGGGCATTGTGGGAAATACTGGTTCTCCGAAGTAGAGCTGCTGCCATGGTGGAATCATACAATCTGAGGTCAAACTGAGATGGTCAGACGGATGAGTATGTACTGCGGGTGTAGTGTGCGTAGGTGAAATTCAAGCGGATTGGAACGAGAAATTAACAATATATTATCGTGGGCCCATACCTGACAAGTCATCGGATCGCATCCTTTCAAAGCGACAAAAATGGCATCCAAGACCGCTTCAATTTTTTTTGCTTTTTTGAATTTTGGAAACTATTGATATTGTGTTGAAGTAGGATTGATTTAAAAATAAATAATTATTTTATTAAAATAAAATTTAATTAAAAATATTTTATATTTTTAAATGGAGGAGATACGTTCTAATATTTTATATATTTATAATTTTTATAGTTATTAAAATGCATGTATATGATTCAAAATAAAGGGTTAAAAGGATTAAAATTGAAAACAAGGGAAGGAGCCAAGCTAGGTGTGGTCTTTTTCTATGTCATGTATTTACTTCTGACGTCAGCTTAGATTGAATCAAGTCAAGTCATGTCCAACTAAGTTACAAGTCGCATGTATAGTCCTAATAATCTTCAACATAAAACTAAATAGAGCTTTGATAAATTTATAAATTAATTGACAAAAATATGTTGTTTGATTAAATAAAAAAAATTTATCTACAATTTTCAACTTTAATTTGAAATAATTTAAAAAATGACATTTTGATTAAATAAATAAATAAAGCTATTAATTACACATTTATTTAGTCTATAAATGTGACATGAGACACATATCTTGAAACGGTATGCTTCATAATCATTCTATCCTTTGTATGCCTTTGGATGCTAACTAAAAAATTAAAAATTCAAGCCATAATTTCTCAGTAAATAACAAGTATAATTATAAACAATTAAACCATTAGAAATTAACTCAAGTAATAAGGATGAAACTATGATGCATTAATATAGGGTAAACTATCAACTTGGATGCCTAGTCATTGTGTATTGAAATTTGAACTAGGCTAACTTTGTATCACCATACCAAGGGGAGGGAACAGAAATCTCTCCATTTCTTTACTCTCTTTTTTCCTTCATTTTCCAATCATAATAATTCATCAACTTTATGATTAAAACAAGTTTATTCAATAGAATAATATCAATGGTAAAAATTGAGAAGTAGAGAGAAAATAAGAGTAAAAAAAATGGAGAGCCCTCACCCCTGTATTAAGTTTGGCTTTGTCCGCAACAAAATTATTTTAAAAATAATAAATAGATTTTATTGATTAACTTATCTCCATCTAAAGATATATTCTTTCAAAAACAATAATTTTTCAACAGTATCATTTTTGAAATTATAAAAATTGAATAATTATGCATTGCTTTTACATAATATTTAGTTAAAATTAATTGAAAATATTGAATTCTTAAAATTTTCGTGATCGTAATGAAGTCAATATATACTATCGTACCCATGATGTGTCAAGTAAAATAATCTCATTCAATTAATTAACACTAAATAATTTAAAATACACTCGCGCACACACGCTCAAGGTGGGCAGACCAGGTTTAACAGGTTAGCTCGACATCGAACCCATTGCAATCTAATAATAGTGTGGGCCAGGCACAATCGACTAAAGCTAGTTGCGATTAGAAGGCGGTGAAGGCAAAACGCATAGTATAAAAATTCAGTTAAGCCACTCAATTGAACCGATAAATTAATAAACAAGTGTGTTAACAAATTTAATAAAATATTTTTTTATGATCAATTTAATTATGATTTTAATAATTAAATCTTGAACCAATACTTTATCAGTAGCTTGACAAAACGACATATATAACACGTGCAAAATGAAGGACTGAGAACATTAAGCTAGTAGGGGATTTTTTAAAAAAAATCACAATTTTTTTTGACAACTTATTATTAATTAAATACAATATTTTTAACCTCAAGATTAAGTTAAATAAATTTGATTAACTAATTATATTTGCACTCCTCTCTTCAAAATATTTAAATTTTAATACAACATTGAAACATTATTTTTTCAAGTGAGAAAGATTGATATTTTAGTGGGTTTAAAATCTTAAATTTTATGAGTACAAAGTGTAAAATTTTCTCACACTAACATGCAATTTTTTCTAAGGGAATGGAGGCATTTGCTCACACTCATGTACATATAAAACACTCGTATACGTATAGGTTTGTCACTGCTCGTGGGTCCATAATTGACGATAATTGAGGGAATCAAACTGATGGAAGATCTTGCATTTGGGTCACTCTCAATCACAACATCGGGCACCGTGATCTGCAACGTGCCTCTGAAGTTGAATTAATGATATGAACTAACAGTCTATCAGTCTAAAATGACAAACAAAATTAAATCTGTAAGCTCCTACTCATAAAGGAGTTTACATACTATTAAGATGCAAGGCCATTAGTGACCACTCCATTTATCAAAGCCATAGTGAAAAAAATAATAGTTATCGAACTTGATTAATCATATGATGACAGAAAAGTGTCTCAAAACAGAAACAGGAAGCCCATTTTTAAAACCATGAAATTCATGAATCTCGGATCGTTGTCATATATGGAATACTACATCGCGAGCAGCGAATCAGAACAAAGTTTGTGTGCGTAAACCAAAGCCCAGGCCACGACCACCAAAGATGAAAGATATATATATTGAAGAAACAAAGAAAGTCTACTCAACACGTTGCTCTGAATTGTCCCCATCCCTCTTTCTTAGATCCCCCTTTTAGACATTTGCCTTTGTATTGCCCATTCTTTCGTCCCTTTGAAATTTAAACCAGAAACAAACATCGTATTATTATCGTGATGGGAGGATCTTTGTGGAAAGTTCTGATTCTAAGGAGTGGGGCTACTACAGCACCAAGGAAGAGGTACTAAATTCAAATTAAATAGCCTGCTATATATGCTTTTTCTTTATGCAAGAGACTTCTGCTAACTTTTATGCTTGAATAGCTTGATGCATTGATGAGGTCACTGAATTGCAAGGGTGAGCGGGAAAGAGAATTGCAACAGCAACTGGAAAAATATTATGCTAGAATATGGTGAGTTAGATTTATTTTCCAATTGAAAGTTTCAATGGAGTACCGGTAGAACATTTCTGTGTCCTTGGTTCCATTTCACGTAGTAGAAGCCTTCAATTTAGACTTTTCTCCCAGCTGTACACGTTTTATAAATGCCGTTACCGTAAGTGGACAAGACCAATGAAGGTATAGAACAAAGAAACACCGTTGTTCTAGTTTAGTTATAGCTTCTACTAAGTAATTCTAATGTAACTTTGATACCGACGAGAATAGTGACATGTAATAGAATGACCTCTGCAATGAGCTGATAGTTTGGAGTGATTGGCCTTGGCTGAGAACAAAAATAACCTATTAGAAACTGTTATCATTAAGTTTGATTAATTTAACATTTTGAATGCATGACCTTGGTTACCATCTTGATTCTCGTGAAAGCTGTGTCGCTAAGTCAGATTCTTATCTTCTAGCGATGACATATAGACTACCTCTCTTCCGTTGAATGTACTTTTAAATGTTATCGATATTTTTTGTTTGCCTAAGTTTTTTTCATCAGTTAACTTCATTTATTTATATTCCATGTTTATAGTACGGAACTTCAGAAGAGATCAAAGGATCAGATACAGCAGATTGCACTAGATGAGTCTGTGCTCCGAAGGTCTACTCGTGTTCGAGCGCCACCTAGAGAAAATCCTGCCAATGCTTTCCTCAAGTATGTTAACAAGTGGAAGGAAGAGTAGTCTGTTAAGTTTAGCTCTTCAGATTCATGAAAGCTGGAACGTTCTACCCTTATTGTCTTTTCATTTGTTTCTTTCGTGATTACATATGGAGAATAGTGGGAAATGATTCTGTTGGTCCAAAGTCTGAGGAGGAATAGGAGGATTGAGCCGTAGTCTAATCTATCATCGGATGATGGACAAGCATGTATTCTATGCTTGATCCTGAAATTTTGTATATGGATAATTGATTACGCCATTTTTAAATAATAATCATTGGTACAAAAGGAATTCATGTATTCTTATCATCATCATCATAATCATTTTGTTCAGTTCATGGTTACTGCATTTATATGTTGATGTGGAAATTTACACATGCGAAAGAATATGGTCAAAGGATGATGATTGTTTCTCCTGATATCCGACAGGAATTCATTCTGTAGTCTTGTAAGATTCAATTGGCCCAAGATTCTCCTGAAGTCCGACAGGTGGCAAAATTGAAAATCAACAACAACAACAATCACGAAGAGAAGACAAGAAATTAAGGATTATCAACCCTTGGTTCTGACGAGAACTTCTCCAGCCTTGGGGCGAGGGATGTGGAATTCCTTGATGGAGAGAGGCTTGCCAGATTCCCAGAATACAGCTCCACGCATAAACGATGGGAGTCCACCACCACCGGCGAGCTGGGAGTAAAACGAAAAGCCCTTTGAAACTCTGCGAATCGTATTTTCATTTACAGCCTTATCGATCGTGAAATGCTGAGTTAACGCCTTACTAAGACACCAAGAAGTGGCGAACTTGAAGGGGAGGGCATTGTGGGAAATACTGGTTCTCCGAAGTAGAGCAGCTGCCATGGTGGTGTTATAATATTCTAAGGATATGTTATTTTTTTTATGCCATTATTCTGGTCTCTCTCTTATCTCTAGCAGCTTTCATTGTATTAGAGTTATGGAATATTTTTCATTTTTTCACAGGCAAAGTAAGATTTTAAAGAGTGACAGCCTTCCTTAATATTTCTATCCTCCATCCTGATCCAGAGGTGGCATAGTCAGATTGATGTACAGCCATATGTGAAAGAAGAAGAGAGAGTCATTTTCATAGGACAATCTTAATAAATCAGAGTTTACAAATTCATTAATCGTTGGATTAGACTGAAACTTGGTCATCACATTTGTAACATCGAATACATCTTTTTCAACGGTTGATTATTGATTTGTTACTTGTTGTAGGAGTTATTCATCTGTACTACAACCTTTGTGGTATTTGATTTTTTTTGTTTTTTTGTGCTGGTTCTTTTTCTTAAAAATGGCAAGGTTAGAGGTTGAGTAACTTATCTCAGTTACTCTAAATAGTTACAATTATCACTTTTAGTTAGAAAAATGTGATCTTGTTCAGTTTCTTTAGGATCCTCCTCTATTACACTTAAGGCTTAATCTACTTTGAGGTCTTCTCCGATTAAATTTGAAGCTTTGCTGTGTGCATTCATCTCTCATTCCTCTAGCCCATTTGTTGCTTTTTTACTCTAACTAGTAAATCACTTGGTATTTTAATTTTGCTTGTTACAATCATATAACAAGTCAGGCAAATTTTTTTTCCTCTATGACAACTAACTCTATTATCTATCCTATACATTTTGTTAATAATTCTCAAATGCCTGTTAGTCACATTGGTACTATCTCCTTGCCTTCTCTATTTATTCATGATATATTTTTTGTTCCTATCATTAGCCTTAACCTTTTCTCTATTGGATAACTTGTTAATATGGGTTATAATACAATATAATGTATTATTTAGCAAACATGGCTGTGCTGTGATGAATTTTCAAACAAGATAGATTGTTGGGACCGGGAGCAAAGTTGGTTGTATGTTTAAGCTCACCTTAATTGCACCTGCCTAAGGTCACTGCTCCCATATTGTGTTATGCCTCCACATTCTCTTCTTCTAATTCCTCTCCTGACTTGTGGCATTGTCGTCTTGCTCACCCTTCTTTGAGTAAATTAAAGCCTTTAATTTCTAGTGGTCATTTAGGTCATGTTCATAATCAGTCTTTATAATGCATTTTTTATCAAACTTCTAAACAACCCGCTTTATCTTTTTATAAAAATGATTCCATTGTTGCTTCTCCATTTGATTTAATTCATTTGGATATTTAGGATCCTAGACCTACTCCCTCTATGGGGATCTCGATACTTTGTGATTTTTATTGATGAGGTTTCTCATTTTACTTGGATCTATATGATGGTATATCAATCTGAGTTACTTGAAATTTATATTAAATTTGCTACTATGGTTCACACTCAGTATTCTAAAATCATCAAAAAAAATTGTCATGATAATACTTTGGAATACTGTAATTCTAAATTACTCAATTTTCTTAGTGCTTCAAAAAAAATTGTCGTGATAATACTTTGAAATATTATGATTCTAAATTACTCAATTTTTTTAGTTCTTAGGGCACTATTTTGAATATTCTTGTCCCTACACTTCTTAACAGAATGGTCATGTTAAGTATAAACACCGTTGTATTCTTGATTTTGTTAGAGGATTGTTCATTTCCTCTTCTTTCCCTGATCCTTTTTGGGATGAAGTAGCCTTAACTTCTATTTTTTGCATTAATCGACTCCCATCTCATGTCATTGATAACATTTCTCCATGGTTATCCTCTTGATTATAATATCTTAAAAGTCTCTGCTTGTGCTTGTTTTGTTCTTCTTCTGTCTCATAAGATAAACAAACTTCAAGCTCATACCCGTGTTTGTTGTTTCCTAGGTTATGATTATGAGCATAAATGTTATCGTTGTTAGGATCCTCTCTTTAATCATATTCGCATTTCTTGACATGTTGTTTTTTGCAAAAATATCAAGTTTTCATCTCTAACCGATCTTTTGTTGTTCTCTTCTTCTTTACCTCTTATTTTTACATATATTTCTACTAACCTTTTACTCAGTGACTCAGGTACGAAATCTTCTATTGAGCTCTTTTCCACAACCGACACCGTGCCTGCTCCAGATGTGCCTACTATCACACCCACTTATCCTCCAGCGCAAATCACGCCTTCTAAGTCCATAACATCTATAGACTCTCAACCTAATCGTATAAGAAATCCTCCCTCTCACCTCAATGATTATCATTATTTTTCCACTAGTATCTAGTTTTAGGAACTCAAATTTTTTAAGAAAGCCTCTTGTGATCCCCTCTAATAGCAAGCAATGGATGAAGAATTACAGGCTTTAGAGAAAATGCATACTTAAGATCTTGTTAATTTTCCTCCTAGTAAAACTCGAGTTGGGTATCAATGGATTTACAAGAACAAGACTTATTCCAATGACTCTTTGAAGTAATGTAAGGCTCGCTTGGTAGCCCAAGAATTCAGTAAAAAATGTGGTGTTGATTATGAGAAGACTTTTGCACTTATTGCTCATATGACTTTTATTCACAGCGTTTTAACTATTACTATTGTTAAACACTAATCTCTTCATCTAATGGATGTTAAACCACTTATTTGATTCTCCTATTGAAGTGATTTCAAATTGAGATGCTGGAATCATACAATCTGAGGTCAAACTGTGGTCAGCTACGGGGGCTGTGTGCGGTAGTGACATTGAAATGGGTTGGAACGAGCAATTACGATTATACTGGGCCCATACTTGACAAGTCATCGGATCGTATCCCTTCCAAGGCGACAAAAACAGCATCCAAGACGGCTTCAATTTTTTTTTCTTTTTTTGAATTTTAGAAACTACTGATATTGACATTGTATATGAAATTTTTCTGGTTTATTATTTAAAATTTGAAAAATAAATAATACTCATAAACAGTGTAACCTATTATTAGATACATTTTGTGTTATGTTAAATGTTAATAATATATTAGTACTGATGATTTTCGTTTTGTTGCAAACTTTCACTGTATATAAATGATATTACACATTCTAAAATTTAAGCATGAAGTTTTTGTTGGAAGAAGCAGTAGTCTTCTTCTTCAATCTATATTTTAATATTTTATGCATTTATAATCTTTGTAATTATAAAATGCATATATATGATTCTGAAGAAAGAGTTGAAGTTGAAGACACATGAAGCAGCCAAGCTAGGTTGGTCCATTTTTATGCCCTGTTTTTCCTTCTGCTGTTAACTTAAATTGAATCGAGTCAAGTCAGGTCCAACCAAGTTATATATTACACGTAAAGCCCTAACAGTTTTCAACATAAAACTAAACGCATCTTTGATAAACTTATAAATTAATTGACAAAAATATGATGTTTGGTTAAATAAAAAATTATCTACAATATACAACTTTAGTTTCAAATAAGTTTAAAAATGACATTTTGATTAAATAAATAAAGCTATTCATCAGACAATTATTTGGTCTATAAATATGACATGAGACGCATATCTTAAAATGGCACGCTCCATAATCATTCTATCCTTTTATGCATTTGGATACTAACTAAAAAGTTAAAAATTCAATCCATCATTTCTTAGCAAATAACAAGTACAATTAAACAATTAAACCATTTGAAATTGGCTCAAGTAACAAGGATGAAAATATAGATGCATAAATATAGGGTAAAGTATCACCTTTGATGCCTTGTCGTTGTGCATTGAAATCTAGGCTATGTCAACTTTGTATCACTATATCAATAAAATTAAGTTTGGTTTTGTCCGCAACAAAATTATTTTAAAAATAATAAATAGATTTTAACGATTAACTTATCTCCATCTAAATATATATTCTTTCAAAAACAATATTTTTTTCAAAAGTATCATTTTTGAAATTATAAAAATTGAACAATTATGCATTGTTTTTACATAATATCTAGTTAAAATTAATTGAAAATTTTTAAATAAAAGTAAAATATTGAATTCATAAAAATATTCATGATAGTAATGAAGCCAATATATATTATCTTACCTGTGATGTGTCAAGTAAAATAATCTCATACAATTAATTAAAACTAATAATAATTTAAAATTATATATGTGCATGTGCGCCCCAGTGGGCAGAGCCGGTTGGACACGTTAATTTGATATCCAGCCCATTACAATCTAGTTATAGTATGGGCCAAGCATAGACGACTAAATTTAGTTGTGTTTGGAAGGCGGTGAAGGCTAAATGCAAAGTATGAAAATCTGATCAACCCACTCGATTGAATTAATAAATCAATAAACAAATGTTTTAATTGATTTAATAAAATGTTTTGTTTATAAGTGATTTGATCACAATTCGATTACAATTTTGATTATGGCTGCACATGGGCAAAGTTGGACCGAGCATCACCCTTGCTCGATGCCTTGCGTGATGTGTAGTTTGAGCCAGCCCGATGCTCGAGTGTTCAGGTTGAGTTTAGCCCGATTGACCTGAAAAAGTTTTACAAACATTTTTTTAAAGAATATATAAAAATGTTTTCTTTGAAAAAAAAATATTATTATTATCATTTAAAATATATTCTTGATAAAACTAATATTGGAATCAAAATTAAAATTTTTAAAATTACATATAATCAATTGCTGTCAATTATTCTTACATGCTATTAAGTTAAAAACAAATTTGTGATTTTGAAAGAGATTTTAAAAATTATAATGATAAAAAATGTCTAAAAAATCATAAAAATAATATAGTTCATAACAACTTTCAACAAAAAATATTATTATAAAATAAATATCTTTCACAAAAAAAATTTAAAAAACAAAGAATGGCACATGTTCAAGTTGGGTTGGGCATGGTAGAGTTTGACCCCTCCTCAGTGGCTAATCCAAAGCCCAACCTAAAGTGCCCGAATGTCTTAGGCAGGGTTGGACTAGCCAAGCATTTAGACACTATGCAGGGCCCTAGTTTTGATCATTAACTCTTA